TCCTCTAGTTATGAAATTCTTGCTGATACAGTCATGCAAGATCAAAGAAAATAAACAGACTGATAACTTAAAACAAACAGAAACAAAAATCTTTAAACTGCTAAAATACGGTGTAGGGATAAAAATGTTTGTAGTTATTATACTGCTTTATAAGAGTCCCCCTCTGTTATCTACATCTTGCAAACTACAGTTTACAAAAAATATAACAAACAGATTCTGATTATTTAGTTGTTGAGATTTGAAAAGGCAAACAAGACTCTGAAGCATCTGAACAAATGTGGAACTCGCATTGTTTGCATCTTAGCACTTATGTTCATTATAAACACCTACAAAAAGCCAATACTTGGCTGTGAAGCTGAACTGTATATCATCTCCTTTTCTGAGCACTGGGGCTATCACTGCAAAGCATGTTGTCCATCCTAAGCCTTGAATAGAAAAAAGGAAGAGATCATTAAATTATAATTTCCCCACACAATTGGTATAAGCATTTCCTACCAACAGGATTAGTATGAACGCAAGATCCCAGAATAAAGCTGCTCAGCAGTGAGGATGGCAGTTTAGTGTCTAGTAAATTTGATTTCTCTGAAAATCCTGACACATCATAATAGCAAAATCCTATTTACTGTAGCAAGCAGGATGGATAATACTATTTAACACCTGGTATAGTATGTGCCATCAGCTCACAGCTTTGTGCTCTGTGTGCTCATCTTACCTTAAGGTTAATGCTCCTTGACAGCCTACATGGTAAGTAGAATCCCCAAATTAAGTGTCGAACCTACAATTTGCAAATCCTTCCTCAAAATTTAAGTCATGAAAAAATGGATGCAGATAAGAGGATCACATTTCCAGAACTTATGTCTATATTCTCAAGGCTCTGATCTGGCTGTAAGCCCTGTACGGTGCAGGAGTCTCCCTGCACAAAGGCCTCTAAAGTCAGCAACGACATGCACAGAAATTATAGAATCGGCCAGGAAGAACTATCAGGGCAGTAACTTGTTGACTGCTAAATCTGCAGCGTATTTAATATAATGCTGAAACCTCCAAATGCTAACAGAATAATTGTATTACCTTATGCCATATGCGTATTCGCATGCATACTACTCAATACTTAAAGTATTTCTAGGAAACTCACAAGCATAGAAACTTCGCTCGAGTGAGAAATATCCTGATTAATATGGGGATACATATCTTGCTCATTTACACTGATAAACTAAATAGTTGTGTCATACAGCAGTGTATTAAAATTAATTTCCTTCTGCTCCTATGACTAGGGGCATGGTTCTCGTAATGATGCATAGTAGTATTATGAAGCAGTGTAACATGAAAACAGGGGGATTTGCTGAAGGAAATTTGAACTAGGGAGAGTTGCATCATTCTCAAAGCGACAGAAGCACCCACAGATACCCCTCGTTGTGAGTGTCTGCATGATGCCAAAACTATAAGCAGAATCGAGAGAGGATCTAGTCACGTTTCCTACGCAGCGAAAATATTCTAAAGCAAAAGCAACTGGATGAAGGAACAACAGGGTGTCCGCTGTGTAGACAAAATTAATGCAACTGTTGATGTTGACTGGAACCTACACATCACAGCGACATTCGAGATGCAATGATGGTTACGAAGCCTACAGCCATGGGGCTTGGAGTTGACAGTGAAAGCGGTGGCACAATGGAAGGATGATGGACGTGGAGGAGCTGAACAGCGCAACGATGAATGCGACGGCACAGAAGTGTGTGACTGCGCGTGGGGATGCACGCATGAGACAACGTTAGAGAAAGAGGCCAGAGGATTGTTCTTCGAGCCAGCAACCTGCTCCACCTGCCTGAGATGTTAGTTTTCCTTTTTCTTGCTTTGCTATTTTAAAAGACAAATCAAATGGTTTAAAATACCACTAACACCACCTTATTACAGTAAGTAAATTAGACAACGTACACTACACACATGTCAATGATTTGAATACTGCTGTCTCTGGGGTTTTTTGCTGTAGTCAAGAAGCACTATCAGCCTGTAAGCAGACAGTAAAAAACACTGACAAATTTTTCTCAAAGGTTAATGTGCGAACTCTTAAATAACAGCTTTACATCCTAGTCAGATATACAGTTTGAGAAAGTTATTCTTTAACTCCTTTGTTAAACTATCTCATTTTGCTTTGCTGCTGTGGAGCATGTAATAACTCATAGCTTATGTGCTATCTTTGACCTAAAAACACTGGCAGCTGTTAGGGGAAACGCTGGGTTTTTGGAAAGTATCAAAAGGTTTTTAGCACATAAACCAAATTTATGAACAGATATTGCCCTAGAGAATAGAATTGTTTATGTTTTAGTATCACAGCTGTCACTGGTGCACAGTTATTTTGTCCTGTATTAATCCCCTGAAAAGGTTGAGCATCTTCACTCAGTCACTGAAATATTTTATAATTGACAGACTTCATCTGGCACTGAATATGTATAATAATTTTCTCCATAAGGAGCACACTGTGCTGACACTAATCTGTTCAGTTGTCGTCTCCCTTTATTATCAATGTCTGCATTGTTTTTTCAGCAGCATTGAAGAACACAAATACGAAGCTTCTAATTGAAAAAGCTAAGTAATCAAAAAGCCAATTAATCATACAGATGAGCTCTGACACTCAATGATGCAACAGACAGAAATACCACATACGCATAACTGCAGTATTTTTAAAGTGTGCTTATTTGATGTAAGAATGATCTGAGAATGTAATTAGCATTCTTTGTCACAGGTGACAGACTCATTCCACATTTCTTCATACTGACATTACTTGTCTGAGCTCCACTTGCTCCACTCCCACCTTACCCTCCTGTTCTGATCTCTTCTCTGCTGAACAGCCCATACTCCGACTTTGTGTACTTTTCACTGAAATTAGGACAAGTTTAGGAACAAATAAGCAGCCTATTATTGTGCTCTGTAATTTCCAGAATGTTAGGCCGTTCCAGACCTTCCTTTTTTCTTAAAGCTCTATTTCCATCCCAATGCTCAAAAATCACCAATACAGAATCTCACAAATGACCTTAATAACGGCTGCAGGCACCAGCCTCAGTGAAGCTGAGATTGCAGGAGACATGACCTCTCTGCTTTTGCAGGTTTTCATTCTGTAATCTCCACATCTCTGAAAAAGTTCAAAGTCAGATTTGGAGCAGAGTTCACCTCCTTTCAGAGCTCAAATAACTCTTTTTTGTGTGGAAGAGATATGCACACGTACTTTGAAAACAAACCGGATGACAACTTGGCAAAGCAAAGGTCCCTTAGCTTACAAATAAAAAGTCAGAATGAGAAGACAAGCCTTAATATCATGACAGTTCCACTCTGAAGACAGAGCAAACATTGTCCATGGCATAAGACAGTCAATTCAGAACTGCCTGCTGTAGTCCTGGAGACTTCCAAGTCCAAGAAGAGAAAGCAAGAGGTGGCAGAGTTCACCTATTTCACATCACTTGGGGGACGATGCTTCAGTAGCACTCAAATACAGTTATTTAAACTTCATTATCTCACTTGCACACAACAGTGGTATGTTCACATGCATGTTAAAATGCGATTCCACATCAGAAGTCTTCACTTAACAGGAGCAAGCAAAGGCACTGTATCGGTGACCTACTTTAACATTAAAAATAACTAAGAATAAAATCTTATTTGCTGCACAGCACCTTAAAAAGGTAAAAGAAAAGCTTTCAAACAAAGATTCATGGTTTATCACACATCCTTCGCCATGAATCACTCCAGTACTACTTGCACCGTAACAATAAAATGGAAGGCCGATAAGTACGAGCAGAGGTACAACCAACCCATAAGAAGCCAGTTTGGATGAGATACTGCAGATGCTTTTTCCTCTAACACCAGCATTTGAGAGTAAGGAAGGTATTCTGTGGTTGGTTTTTTTTTTTTGTGAAGGATCTTAGTTTTTAACTGTTTAAATAATGCACTATTTTAGAATCATTAAACTAATGATTATCACCCTTTCAAACTATTTTTCATTGCCAAGAACATGACTTCATTAATGTCCTCTTCAAAAAGGCAGGAGAAAACACTGAGACAGTATCTGATATGCCCTCTATTTAAAATATTCATTAAGACCAATTATATACACTCATAATTCATGCAATGTGCTCTTCTTCCTAACCCATAAAAACAAGGGGTTTTCTTCTATTATGTTAAGCTGCATAAATAAATATGTATCTTGTTAATATCATTTTCAAAACTAACTAAAAAAAATCCAAATTAATCAACAATAGGTAGACTCAGGAAGAAGGCAGAGGGGGAAAGGAGGCAAATGTATTCAGGCTGAAGGTTACAACCAGCTTGGGATCTAGAAAATGATGACAGCAGTAATTATTTGAAATTAACATCCTATAAAATAATACCCTATAAAGAATAGGAATGTTAATAGCAATATGTTAGAACATTGTAAGCACATCACACAGCTTACCAAACTGTTCTGTACAGTTTAGTTTCAAATCTACTGTGAAAAAAAGACAGAGAAGTGCTTTTTGCACATGGCATAAACAACTTGTAATTATCATTAAACTCTCCAGGTACTGGTGGCTTTTGGAGAAACCACTGACTCCACCCAGAGAAAGCAACTCTGGACCTCAACAAAAGCAGAAATTCAGTATATATCTGCACGCTTCACATGCAATTTTAAGACTGCTTGGTGATACTCACTCACTCACACTGGCTCTTCATCAGTGCTGGTATAAAAGTAACCTCATTCGGATTATTTCTCTGTATGTAATTACTGTGACAGATGAAATCTCATTGCAAATGTGACAACTCAGTTAGTAAAGAAAACAATATTCTCAACATTAAAGCCTCCATCTTGTCAATATTAAGCCAGAAACAGTAGCAGTTAATACCAAAAAACCCCTCTGGCCACAGTTTTAATCTTTATCTCCTTAGAAAAGTCATCTTGTTTAACAGTAAAACATAACCAGAAAGTCAGCAGCAGAAATGAACAGAAAACTCTTCATTAAAAGGGAAAGAAGGCTTACCCTTTCTTCCAGTCGAGCCAGCTGCTCTTTGTAGTAGGCATCATGTTTCTTCAGTTCTCTGTCTTTCTCTTCCAGCTGCTTGGCCTAAAAAAAGAAATAGAAAGATAAAACCAGATCAAGAAAGAGCCTCACTTGCAAAGCAAAACATCTACTATAAATTGTACCAGTAAGGAATATACAGCGATTGAGAACTGCAGTCTATTAGTTTTTGCCAAACAGTACATTAATAAGATGATGATTGCTGCATTGAAAATGTAAAGAGACTGTCTATTGTACTGGGTTTTTTCCTTCCCTCCTCAACAGCTGTGCCATAGTTTGCCCAAATGTATCTGGAAACGTCATGAAGACAGAACCAAGCATACCATGCTGAGACGAATTTTTTTTTTTTTTTTTAAATTAACTTTGCAGATCACTTCTGAACTTACGGAAACTTGCTCAAGCTATCGAAAAAAAATATATGCCGACCCTGAATATTTAACTTAATTTGTTAACTAAGTGGACATTTTGACATGAGAAAAGCTGAACTTGCATCCACATGTTTGTAGGCAGTGGTAAAAAGAATTTTTTTGAAGTAGCTGTTTTTTCTTTAAAACCCCAACTGAGGAATACATTTAGCATGTGCTTAATTCTAAACACATGAACATTTGGAAAGAACCAAATGCCTACATATTTGCAAAAGCAGATCTAAAAAGTACATCTAAAACTATGCTGTCCTCTTTAATTAGTAATCATTCCTCTGGAAACTCCTGTATTGGTTGAAGTATCCAACTAAGTAAGCTGAAAGCCTTTACTGTAGGATCACTCCCATGTCTAGTAACTTGAAATAATACACAATAATTTTGAACATCTACATTTGAATACTAATACGACTTGAGTATTTGTTTAAGAGACACTGCTCCCAGCACTACTGAGCAAGTTGACTTTTTTTTGGCTTTTCATCTGTAGTATGTACCAATATCTAGCATTAAGAGGACTCAGTAAGAATTATAAAATACATTAAAAGAGCACATGTGCACACAGAATACATACAAAGCTGTAAGTCCTCCAGAAGACATACTAGGCAAGTGATTGTTAACAAGCTATGGAGGATTTAATGCCTAAATTATCAGCACAAATTCATTCCAGGCTCATAATGTTTTAATAATAAAATATCTTCAGTGACTAATAATTAACTACCAGTGTTCATTACCACAACTGTCTATTCAACATTGTCATTTACCTCTAACATGTTATTTTCACCCAGGTACTGACACTGCAAAGTCAACTGCAAAAAGTTCCTATTTTAGCAGCATCATGTAAAATGGTAAAGTGTTGTACTCTTACTACTAAAGAGGGAATCTCCAGGTCATGCTCATAGAAGCATGTCAGAAAACTTATACCACATATTCTGCTATACTTGTGTAGATACAGCACTTAATTCTCTTTGTCAAGATGAGGTCTGTTTTTTGGCATAAAATAAACACTTTGGATTTTTGGTTGTTCCTCACTTAACTACTTACCTTTTTTTCTATATCCTGAAGCATGTAAAAAAATCAAAAAGTCAAATTAAAATTATTATTATAATGGTAAGTAGAAAGAATTTTTTTTTTTAAAAAAAGGCACACGTCAGGCATATCTGTAATCTAGAACAATGCAGAAAACTACTTGGAAGTTGGGTTTTTTAATGCAACTTCTCCAAAAATACCCCTGCTCATCCAAAAAGCACACAGGCAAATTTTAATTCTACTTGGATAAACCAAACCTTGCTCCCTGCCAACCACCCCATCTTCAGTATAGTGCCACAGAGCACACGCTACAGCCTTGTCCATCACCACTTAAATCAGCCTTTATTCACTAATTACAGGTTTTTCCAAAGCTGATTACACTAAATATTCTACGGCCTAACTACCATGCTTTGTACAGATCACGGTTTTGCTTTTTCCAGATAATCCCTGTATGACCTCCCAGACCTGGTGGTTATAGAAACAGCTGGAAATTCATCCCAGGTTGTGCCTCCCCAAACCCATTCTCTCCCAGATATCTAATACAATGCTTAAGAACATTATCATAGTAACCAATACATGAATATTTTACATTTAACAGCCTCATGATCCCTGAAATATTTGCGAACTCAAGAACATTCCTTCTGTGCAAGTGGAGTTAAATAGGCCAGTGACAAAGAACACGTAAAATTAATGTTCCATAATGCTCATGAGAACTCAGTTAAGTTTTAGTTCTTACAATTCAGTAGTGTTTCACATGAGCCTATCGATGACCTGAAACCAAGCAGCAAAACTGACTTTGGAAAGATAGTAAGATATAATAAAACCCATGCAAGAGCATCATGACTTAATTCACTCGCCCCATTACTGACAATTCACACGGGCAGAAATTTTCAGGGTGTAAAAACACAGCAGGTCAAGGGCACACTAATGATGGAGGAGACAAAACCCATCCTCTCCTCTGGGTCCAGCTTAGTTTAAATTCTTTTCATCTGTGTCTTGCTTGCTGATCAAATACCATCCAAAAAAAGAGAAATGGATTTGTTTAACGGTATCTGATCACCAAATTTATATATATGAAAGACAGTATGAGTAGGGGAATGCAAATACATTTCTTCCAAGTATATCCATCTGAATGCAAGTTTTTGCCCTGGAAAGTTCATTTTGTCCTGGAAAGTTTGTTAGTTTTTTGGGTTGATTTTGGGGCTTGGTTCCCTGCCCCCCAAGATAATTAGTGATCAAACCAGCTGGATTTTACTGCACTAAAGATATGGGGGCCAAGAAGTGAAATATAGTCACGTTGCTTATTGCCCTGATCCTATCAAAGTTTTTATATCACTGATAAAGTAGAAATATTAGATTATAAGAAAACTAAATAATACATTTATCCAAAGGTCTGGTTCCCTATAGTGTGAAAGTAACTGGACAATTTGGTAGGCCAGTAAGAAACTCAGAAAAAAAAAAAGTTTCTCCCATATAGCTACCACCCCTGGCATTTGTACAGTAACACACACTCAGCAAAGTTTAAAATAAATAAATTAATAATTTTTTTTAAAAAATCATATTCATTTATACAGGAGACAATATAAATATGCCCACAGAAGAGAATTCACTGCAGAAATAAAAACCTGCAAGGTAATATTATATTTATGGGGCCTCAGCAACATGATCCCAGTGAATATCAATTAGCCGTAACAAAATAATTAACAGTAGCCATGTATTCAATTAGCTGAATGTTGCACTTTAGTTGTAAATGAGATATTGGAACAGGTTCATTACTTCTTCACAAAGTAACTCTAATAAACAAAGCATTTGCTTGGGTGTTATTTAGAAAACAGCTTCAGAAGGTCACCTTTAAGGGACAGCCCATCTTCCCAAGACTACCCAAAATTAAAATCCAAAAAGAGACCACTAATATTAAATACAGGTTCTTCAGAATCACTAGGAAGTTGGACCAAGATTTAAAGGTCAACCTAGATTTCATTTTCAAAAGTAGTGCCTGGATTTAGCACAGCACTGGTATAAGCTTCCATCACCGGAGAAAGAGAGATCTACAAAAAAATTCCCGTGCATCGCCTCGGCCGTGGGCGCAGGGACACTTGCGGAGCGGTCCCATGCCGAAGCCAAACCCTGCTCGTGCTGGACACCACATACACATTCATTTTGTCCTTTGTAAGGTAGAGCAGAGCAAATAAACAGCTGACTGAAAACGTATGTTTAATAATTATCTTTAAAAAATAAAGAAAGGAATCCAGATAGCTGGATACAGCAAGGTTCGAGGTGTGGGCAGTCTATAATTGCTACTCTTCAAAGGGTCGCAGGGGATAAACTGTTATCAGGCAGTTTAGGAGAAGTCTGTAGGCAGATTTCAAACAGCTCTTAAAGCACTCGGCAGTCCCAGGCTTACAGCTGCCCCTCGGTGCAGACTTTGAGCTCCACATTCATTAACATCCACCAAGTTTACAGCAGAACACCGCTGAGGTGGCTTCGGTTTGCATTTTTCTGGCAAAGAAGAATAATCTGCTTCAAAGTAAGAGTTCAGTTTGACACTCATTTTGTAAATCGTTGTCAGCCATCCGAAAGCGCTCTGCCTAGGTCTCGCCAAGCTGCTTCATGGTCATGTCCTCATCACCCCACGAAAAACGTCAGAGGACGGGGTAAGTGGACAACCAAGGGACAGGCTCTCCCAAACCACACTCAAGCTGCGAGCGAGACCAGGCATCGGGGGCTGGAAGAGCACCCCGTCACAACGGCTTTACAAGGCTAAGCATTTCGTTTGACAAATCCCCTAACTAGAGCAATGAGGGCTTTTCTCATGGGAAAGGTCACATGAAATATCTACAGGCCTTCAGGCGAGCCCGTGTACTTTGAAGAAAAGGTTAATGGATTATATAGGCAAAAGAAAGCGGCAGCAGAGGGCTGGCCTTCAGCAGCTCCAGCAGCACGACCATCTCGCAGGAGAACCGCTGGCAGGTCAGGATGAATGTGACGCACCAGTACTACGAGAGAGCGGATCTCAAAAAATGATCTTTCACCATGACGTTGCTGGAGATTTTCCGTTTGTTTTGCACCTTGAGGTAGGCTGGATGAGCACATCTGTAGGTTAAAGCGGGGTGTGAATTCATGAGCTCGTTGATACCAACGTCACGTGGGCACAGAATATGTCACGTTGTAAAACAGTTGTTCAGCATTTGATGTCCACTAAATTGCTTTGCCCAGAAACCCTTTTGCAGTGGACTACATTCGCCCATCACATATAGCCCTGTGCATGCGCGTTTGCACGTTGATAAAATCAGATGAAAAAGGGTTGTTACTTGTATACTTTATTATGGTCAGCAAAACTACAATCTTCATTCACTGCATATAGTGTCCCAATAAAAATGATGCTCGGTTTCCACATTTAATATATGCTGGATTGCAACAGTTTTAAATTTTAACCTTCTGTTTCAACATATTAATACACACATCAGTCTGAATGGGCAATAGGAGTAACTTATGGATATTCTTAGGAAAATATGCTTCTCCCCCCCCCCCCCAAGTAATTTCTTTTTGAAGCTAGCGCTATTCACAAAATCATTCCTAACCACAAAAAATGATCCAGAC